TATAAAATGGCTTTTAATCACTACTTTTTGTTACTTTTTTATATCTAGTTTTTTGCACCACTTGTCGTATTGTCGTATTGATGGCTTTGCTGCAAAGCAATTGCCACTTTGCACCACTTGCTTCTGCACACTGTTTTGCACTTTTTGATAACCTTAAAATTTCTTCTTCTTGATTTTTTCAATGGCCTGTTAATATGTAATCCAACTATTGGACATGTCATATAGGCCGTTCACTCAACTTGAGAATATTTTGACAGAATCATTGTTCATACAACACAAGAATTTCTTTTTCTTTCCTGGGGTATATACTCTGTTCTCCCTCTCTCGGTTCTGTAACATTGCCTACTACAGCAAGAGGAGCTCTAATCATCGAGCATGCTCGATGGCTCTAATACATCGAGTTAGATAGGTCTTAGATTAGGTGCACGAGTATGCAAAATAATAAATAGAAGAAGTAGAAGAAGATTGTTTTTATTTATTCGCGATAGTCAATTCCGACAGGGGGCGCTGAAGATTTCAAAGATGGACGATAACTTCGGAAAAACAAATCATTTTGTCATTTGATCTTTATTTAAGCTATAAAACGTTTCATATAAATCATTTACGTGTGTTTTGCCAAAGTAAAAGTTGGAGTACGTTCTTCAAAGTTTATTTGTTTGTGATTCGAGTTTATACATAAGGTAATTGACTCCCAAACCTGAATAAAATTAAATCTTTGTTTTTTTTTACAGTTTGTCTGTAACACGGGAAGTAAAATTTACATTATCTTAATTATTTATATGGTTGCAAGATCGGCAGAGATCTTTAGTTGAGGGTGAGGCAGTTTTTGGAGCTGGCCACGTTATATTTTGTAAATTACGCCTTACGCTTTCTACTAATACCGTTGCGGCAATTTAGCTGCAGCATTTTTCCTGAGTCTTCTCAATTTAGTTTCAGGAGTTGCTATAAAGTAACTTAAGTATAAATGTAAACTGCACACAGTCATGTACTTGGTTATAGGTTTGCCAATTTGCAAAATGCATTGCCAAACATTTATCATATTCTCATCCAGCGAAAACTTATGTATGGAATTTTTTTGTGAATTTTAATAGGATGATTATTGAGGAACACTGCAATAGTTTTTTGAAGTCGAAGTCATTGTTAATTACAATATAAACCGGCTGCCAATATGTATACAAATTAATGACAATTTCAAAGTTTTCTCGAAGTGGATGCTTTTGAAATCTACCACCAGGCGTCGCCCACTTTGCGGTTCCTCGCGAATTGGATTATTTACAAGGTTTACATTTTACAAGATTACAAGTTCAAATTACAACTACAACGTTACAGTACAGTATTTTCTGGTATTTTTATACAATACAAGATAAACATATTATTGAAACTGAAAGATATAATTAAGTATGTTTAATCAAACTGAAGTAAAACAAGAAGTTGGTGAGACAACTTGCCAAAGAGAGATAGATAATGAAGTAGATAAAGATACTTTTAAAATTGAAATTAAGGAGGAACCATCCAGGTAGAGCGCAAATGATATGTTTGATTATTTAGATGTTAAGAAATATTCTGAATATTAAGAAAACTGAAATAGTACAAGATGACGGTAAGTAAATAAAAAACAGTTATCTACATTTAAAAGTTACTATTATTATCTTGCAGACTAATAAAAATATTCCTTTTTATCCTCTAATACTGGGAATTTTCGACAAGTATCAAGATAAAGATTGTAAATCTAAGGTGATAAGTAATAAAAGTCAGTTTTTGTTGGTTCTGAGGATTTTTCACCATCTGATATGTCATTGGCTTCTTCATACCTTCTTCCAGACTACCAATCAGTTCATGCCATAATTTTTCTTTTACCATGATTTATCATGATGTGATTCGCTCTTACGCGAACGGGATAAAATTAGCAGAATGAAAAGAGAAAGAAAGCGGCTACCCATTTATAGTCATTATAAAGTACATACACTAACATACATAGTGTCATGTACAAAGTGGACACTTCATAAGTCGCTCGCGATGATCGATGCAAAATTGCTAGCCCTCCAATAATTTTTCCTAATATTTATTTTATTTTTTCGATATTTTTTTCTTTACCCGCGATCGACTGACCTAGAGGCCGCGATGAATTATGTCAAAAATATGATTTATGAACATTCCATTTCGCTTCTCAATTCCGATTTAATTTCAGCTCTAGGCCAGCACCATCTTCATACAGGTCAAAAAATTGATTTTGAAAACTACAGAACCATAGCCCCCATCCGTGTCTATAAACCAATAATTATTCGAGTAGCCATAGAAATTGAAAAGAATAGCCATAAAGAATATATCTTCCGGTCCATCCGCGAATCAAAATCCAACTGCCAGAAATGTTTGCACCAACCCCTGCGACAATCCCCGGGCCAATCCTCACGCCAAACTAGACCTCGGAAGTTCTAAAAAAAACATCAGACACGATGTCGAAAGCTCGGCGCAGTAATCAACACGGTTCAACCCGATGACTGTTGAGTTTAATATTAATTTTAGTAATAGTATTAATCTTAGAGCAATATCGATAAACTAGAGGAAATGTGGATATATAGAAGAATTTTGAAAATACCTTGGACAGACAAAATAACAAATAGTGTAGTTCTTCGAAGAATGAACAAAGAACGGGAGCTGTTGATCACCATCAAGAGAAAGCTGGAATATCTTGGTCATGTGATGAGAGGGAAAAAGTAACGATTGCTTCAGTTAATTATCCAAGGAAAGATTCAGGGCAAACGAAGCGTAGGGAGACGACGTATATCTTGGCTGCGCAATTTAAGAGACTGGTTAAAGTGCACATCTAATCAAATATTTAAAGCAACAGCTTCAAAGATACGAATAGCAATGATGGAGAGAGCACTTGAAAAAGAAGAAGATTAATCTTAACTCTAGGTTTAATTGTATTATAGAAGTTGTAAGTTTCATAGGTATATTGTGTCTAACTATCCAACATCTTAACAAAATATTTACCTACCTTAAAGTATGAACATACTTTAAGGTAGATAAAAATTAAAAAAGTATGAACATACTTGGTAGATAAAGATTAAAAAAGTATGAACATACTTTAAGATACCTAGGCACATGTGTAAAATATGCCGTTATGTTTGTTATGTAAAATTTTATTTAGTGGTTTTAAACAGGCAAAAATATATATTTTAGGATTTAAAATTTAGCATTAAAGTCAATTTTCATATTAGCAATACAACATTTGTACCGAACAAGTTAATTTCGGTACCCTATATAACGGATGCATCTCTCTGAAAGATGATGCGTGTTCGATAATCTTCAAGATGTATCGACCGGCTTGCAGATCAAGGCGTTCATATAAGCGAGAATAAAGATCGAATATTCCAGATTATTCTAGTAAATAATGATTTCCGTATTTAAGGGGCGCTGTTGTTAGTTTTATTTAGTTGATAAGGGAATATCGTATTCTTAACTTAAAATAAATAGTTTATATAAATTAGAACCGCTCGTTTTATTATTTAACACGTTACAGTGGTGTTACGGTGTGAGGTAATTTATTAATTACACATAAATTACACAATAACTTTTGGAAAGACTTTAAACTTTTGAAAAGTATTTTTCATCGAGAAGATCCGCGTAATTCGGTAGTGATCTTTGTAAAAAATAACGTGTGTGTCTGACCAAAGATACGGCTTGTAGAACAGTCAGTAAAACAATTACGTGAACAACGAGAAAAACGAGATGAAGACTACTGCTGGATCAAGAAGATCCTTCAAGAACGACTGAAGGATGTTCTGAACAAAAATGGAGATGACCCAGATACATTCCATTTCAATCAGCAGAAGAAGCAGTTTTAACGAAGATCAAAGAAACTTCTAGAAAACATGTTGAATGATATAAAAATATTTCTAGAAGATTCGATGAGAAATTTGAAAATGTTTCTCAAATGATTGGGGAAACTTCTGAAAATGTTTCCAAAAGATTCGATGAAATTTCTCAAATATGTAAAGAAGTATGTAAAAATACAATGAGAAACTTGAAAAACTTTGTAGAACATTCGATAAGATGCAGAAAAATGTAAGCAACAATGAAGAAAAGATCAAACAATTAGAGAGTAGTTTTAAATCCTATAGTGAAAGAAGAATCACCAAGAGACAAAATAATACATCAGATTGATGGGAATTTTTTTGGGTCAAATAGCTTAGATAATTTGAAGCAGTTGCGACAGCCAATCATTGGACCTGTTTCCTTGCGGAACAAGAAAAGACTGTTTCCTTGCGGATATCCTAAGGGCCAAGAAAAATGTTACCAGACCTTTTTCACTCTACTAGAAAAACGTTATGGAGATGCCCATCTACACCAAGTCTACAAAGCACAACCACAGAATAATAAACAATCAGAATGCCCACTCTGCTTGAAAAAATAAGTACGTGCAGACGGAATCAGTCATGTTTTAAACGGAACCAGTGGTGTTCAGGGACATTTTATCTGGCGTACATAGAAAAATTAACCCGGTTTAATTTATCTACGGCAACTATAGACACAATAATGCACTATTTTATTCGTACCTTTAGTTGAAGAATAGATTAAATTATTTTAAATCCCTAAAAATTTAAATTACGGTTCTGTCATAACTTGTCACAAGTTTCTCAATTCGAGAAAAGAATATAGAGCGTCTATATTCTTTGATTCGAGTCTATGTTTCCGTTTAAAATATGGCTATCGCGTGCTGACAAACTTCAAAGGCGGCATCTGAGGGTGGGAATTCTGATTGTTATTTATTCTGTGGCACAACTAAGAAGTCGAAGTCAACGAGCAAGTTTGAAGCAGATGATGCTCATATAGTGCAGTTGTCTTATCCGGTGGCTAAAAATTAATAAAACAATTGGCTGATTATTCAGGGAAATACAATCCAAAAAAGAAGAAGAAAAATTTAGTTTATTTTAAAAAAGAAGAGTAATTTATAATGCCAAAAATAGTAAACATGTTAAAAAAAAATAGTTTTTAAAATGAAATTTAATAAAATTTGTAGGACTTGCCTTTTAGAAAAAGCAAATTTGAAACCTTTATTTGAAGCTTGTGTTGCTAATATGTTAATGTCTTGTTCTGCTATACAGGTAATTGCATTTTTCTCTCCATTAACCCATCAGTTACTGACAAGTATGTTACAAATATGAAAACGAAAGTACAGTGAAAACTAATGAATCCAAAAATGCCAAGAATAGAAAGATAATTAATTATGTTTAATGTATGTTTTCTGGGCCGGTGTTTTGTAACGTTTTTTCTGGGATTGGAGGCCCTGATCCGGCATATATGTTTCAGACGTTTCATATACAACTGCGGCAGTATTACCTAAGTCAGTGATGCAGCTGTCGTAAATATAATCTGTAGCTTCAATTGATGAATGATGAGCTTCCTGTAGTATTTGTGCTATTTTTAGTCTCCATTCTTGTTCCGAGATCTTTCAGTTGGTCCAGTTCAGTAGCCTGGGATGAATTTTTATATTTCGTAATGTTGACAGCCACTAATGTTTATACTCACCCTCTCTTTTACAATTAAAACTAATCACACGGAATTAGTGTATGTCTCAGTGTCAAAACTATGGAAATGACTATGGCATTCTTATCAAAGAGACAGAAAAACAAAGTTGAAAGTTTTTAGAAGTTCAATCTAATTTTCAGAATGAACAAAATGGTAAGAAAGAGTGCCCATTTCTCAGAACAGGAACTGACAACATTATGAGTGAGTGGTTTATCTGAAGGAGAAAATTGCTGTTACATCAAGCACAATACTGGTTGAGGACATAATTATTGTTAATGTCAGGTTAAGAATTCATGAATTACTGCAGGATATCAAAGACAAAATCTAGATGCAAATTTCACAAACTAAAACAGGCCAAAGCATCTATAAGTCCTGCATCTCCCCTGTTTGGAAAAGAGACCAAATAATTACAATCATATACTTATTTTAAATTTCTACATAAATTATTGGAATGCAATAATCCACACAAAAATCAATCTGATAGTTAAATATATTCTCTTAATTTTTGACCAGAATTTATTTGATTCTTGATCAAAGGTAGATATTAAGGCTAAGGGAATGGTTGCACATCTAGCCATATAGTATGAGTGGAAATGTTGATGTATATTACGTCTAAATTGAATTTTTTAGGGAAGTTTTTTTATTTAAAAAACAATACCATTTATTTTTAGTGATATTTAAAACCCTTTTTAGGTTATACAAGGAGATGGTTTACCTAATCAGATATGTACCCAATGCCTACAAAGTGTAAATAGGGCCTATACATTTAAACAACTTTGTGAAAAATCTGACATGACATTGAGAAGTTATTTAAGCATTAACTTGCAACCAATTGCTTTGCCTACCGAAAATCTCATTAATGAAGTAAAGAGTGATTTATTTAGTACAAGTGAAGTTCTGCAACAGAGTTCTTTATTTCAAGATATCTTTAATGATGCCACTACACATTCCTTTGTTGAAACTTTTACAAATCAAAATACTAGCACAGGTAATGTTTTTTCACTTTATATCCATTTTTTTAATAGCTTTACTAGGACAGGTTGGCAGTCAAAACAACAAAACTATTTCTATTTATACATTTCTTAAATGGAACAATTTGGGTCATTGTGTTCAATCATATTGTTTCTTTAAATTTTTCTTTTTCTTATTTTTAACATTTTTATTCAAGATTTATTGTGCAGGCTTATTTTGTGTATTGTTTGTTCATTAAAAAACTTTCACATTCGTTATGTTGTTTGTAGTATGTGCAATATATGTCAAGTGTGACAATGAAACTAGTTTTAACTTTAAAATCTCTAATATTTTTTTAATATTATATGTTTATATTTTAAAAGTTTGTAATACTGTTGAAGAAGAATAGTAATGAACTGATTGATGAAACTTACAACTTCATTTAGTAGAAACAATTGTCCCTTCTAACAAACATCATTTTTTGTGATGTTTGGTACTGCAATGTTTTTTTTTATAATCAACACATATCACTTCTTTTTCTATATTTTTTTGACTTTCTTACGTTATGCTTTTGTAGATAGAAAATTCCTGTTTGATTTAAATAAATTTCTTGACGATTTCTATTAGTTCTCAGATTAACCAGAGTGCTATTTCTTTCTTCTCTTGCTTAGTTCCTTGTGGCTAATTTCTTATTTATAGCAGTAACACCAGCAGTGTTTGATCACACAAGAAACAAATATCATCTCTTGGATAGCTGAAAGCTATATTAAACTGTATACTAAAAATTACCATCTATGGTTCATATAACATATTAATTCCAGGATGAAATTTTATGAAACATGTCCATCTTTCTTAAATTGAGCTATTTTGGGATATAAATGTTTGAATTTTTATTCTAAACTGTGACTTTGTTTCACATTTGCAAAACCATACCTGTACACTTCTTTTCACATAATTTATCCAATATTTCTTTTAAACCAATATTTTGTATTGATGACAAGAATCATGAAAATGAACCTCTTCTTCATTTATTTTAGCTTATCAGCATCTACTGAGAACACTGCTTATACGGCTTGCAAGATATGCTGATTGTTTATTTCAACCATTTAGTTTATTAACATGATTGCTTACCATCTGAAATTTTTTGAAAATATTTATATTTTTTCCTGTCACACTCAGGTCCAGTTTGAAGTTAAAACGTTTTTTTAAAGAAGTTCATATCTTTTTCATTACATCATGCATAAGCTTTTCTTTTCTTTATTGGCTGTGATCCTTGGTTTATCATCCTCAAATGACACATTCATTGCATTCATTCCATTTCAGACAATCAGGAATATTTGGAAAGGGCTGTAGATTCATTTAATTTAATGTCTGTATTATTATGGAAAGGTACAAGGTGGGATATTTTATTGCTAATTAATTGCTATTAATTGGCTGAGCTGGGGTCGTCGATAAGTAAATGGCAAGGGGTCGGATTGGGAAACTACAGAAAAAAGAAACAAAAAGGGTACTAACATAATCTTTTGGGACAAACAAAATAAAAATAAACAGGAAACACCTCTAGTAATTTAATATAGGGCACCACTTTGAGGTGCCTAATTATACCTATTACAACCATTAGTTGTGACGAGGGAAATATTTATAAAACATAAAAAACATATCTTTTTCAAATAAAACTCAAAAAGGGGTTAGTTAAAAAAAATAAACAAAATGTTAAAAAAACAAAATTTAAAATTTATTTTTGTGTCATACCACAAACAGTTACAAAACATAGACAATACAAGAATACTCAAAAAAGACTACAAAAATTTTACGTCAATAGTCGCAAAATACAAAAATACAAAAAACTTACATGTCATCCATTTATAAACTCTAGGAGTTGGAGATACTACAAAAAACTTACAAATGTTACCGCACAGAGGTTAACCTTTTTTTTAAACAAACAAAAAAACAAATAAATATCGAAAATAATAAAGCTAGCTGTCATATGTTAACATTAAATTTTAAAAACTGAAAACAAATAAAATAACAGCTAAAGTCAAAACCCAAAATTTACAATATTACATATCACTATTTTTAAATTTTAACGAAAGCAATTATTTATTTAAAAAAATTGTCTTTACTTTAACAATTGATCAAAAAGTTACCTGGATTTTTCACTAGCAAACTGCACTAAAATTTCTGGAACCAGACGCCATTGGAATCTCTGAAACCATAACTGGAACTGAGGGCTTCACTCTCTCTGCATAACGAACACATGAACAACTCTATCTCCAACTCTATCTCCAAACTTCCAAAAAGCCTTGGATGACAACCAGGGAGAAACAAAACGAGGATGGAAATACGATTCTTCCTATCCTCACTCAAAACATTAATTGATCCATTAACCGCCACAAAACTACTTTTCGCTACTACATATTTCCATAAAAAGGGGCCAAAAACAGGAAACTACAAATTCAATGATGAACTTGGATCCATACCTGAGCCTATAGGCGACCCAAGTAAGAATGACGAAATTATCTTAAGAATTCATTCACATAACTTGAAATAACAAACACTTGACAGGAATTAAAACACAGAAGATTATATTTCTACAACATACAAAAATTATAAGGCGACTTCGAATAAAACATTAAAAGAAAATGCCGAGAAAGTACACGTCTTTAAAATAATAAACAACTCTAAAATGGTTTTTATTACTTGGCGATGCTGAAAAGAACGAATTATTATTTGGGTTTTAAAACGTACGAATAGGAAACTAAAGTACATTAAAAATATTCTTCGATTTTTCAAACATATATGGGGGGATTTTAATATGTCACCTATACTAGGGGATTTCAATATATTTTAAAGAATCAATAAATTGCAAATGCTACAGTACATTGATCAATCCCAATAACTACCACATCATACCCTACCCCAAACCTCTCCCCTTGAAAAATTGAGATGTCAGCCAAAATTGTTGAAACCAGAAAAGTGAACTGCTATGACTTAATTGCTAATTTATTGCTAGAGTTTTATGCCACGAAACACTTTATTGCTGAAATTGTTTCCTGAACCTACCTTAGCATCATATTGTATTGCTAATTAAATTTTTTGGAATAATGGTCAATTTAATTGTTAAATAAAATTGTCACCATCATCCCTCAATTCAAATCTTATCCCTGGCGAAATAGTGTTTTTTTCAATTTTTTTCACACCTCATAAAAGTTGTTCCTTGGGACAATGTATTAGATTAACCAGATGTAAATTTCTGCTTAGAAAATTTTTACCATATTTTATATGATGCCATCAATATGTTTATTCCTATCAAACGGTTTAAATCATTAAACTTTCCAGTTTGGTTATCGCAAAAACTAATTGAGTTTGTCATACAGAAAAAAATAGCTCACAAGAATTTTAAAGCATCAGGCAACTCATATGAGAAATTTGCGGTGTTAAGGGAAAGATGTAAAGCATTACAAGCAGTATGTTATAAGAACTATTTAGAGAATATTAGAGCAAATTTTTCAAGTAATCCCCACTCTTTTTGGAGGTATGTTAGTACTACACGTGGGTCTAGTGCTTATCCTAATGTAATGTCTAATAAAGGTGGGGATGTAATAGCTCAGAATGGTGATGAAATAGTCAATCTATTTGCCAGTTATTTTTCAGGTACATATAATGATAGTGAGTATAATGTACCTAATTTTAAATTGGACTATAGTGTGGATTTCCAGATTCTGAAGTTTAGTCTGACTGATGTTTTCGAGGGGATTAGCAGTTTAAAAACTACATATTCTTCAGGGCCTGATGGAATACCTGCAGCACTTATTAAGAACTGTATTTTTTCCCTTTGTAAACCCTTACAACAAATTTTCAATTTATCATTGTCATCATCTGTATTTCCACAATATTGGAAAAATAGTTTTCTTACACCTATCTATAAATCTGGCAATCGCGAGTGTGTTAACAATTATAGAGGTATAACTATTCAATCAGCAATCCCGAGACTTCTTGATAAATTGGTATCAATAAATCTCACCTGGGCTTGCAGAAACATAATTATTTATGAACAACATGGTTTTACAACTGTAACAAATCTTGTCAATTACCAACAATACTTGTTGGGTGCATTTGAGAATAAAATTCAGGTTGACAGGTTGAAAATTTCATTTTTATTCTGGTGTACCACAAGGGTTCATTGTGGTCCCTTGTTTTTTAACTTCTCATTAACGATATTGATACAGCTAACAAAAACTCACACTTCCTGCTATTTGCTGATGATCTTAAGATATTTGATCGATTTGACCGTTACTTGATGGAAATTCATTTTATGTAACAATAAAACACTGAAAACTTTGTTTTCAAACTGCTACAAAATTTATTTTAAATCTTATCACTACAGCTGTTTCGGCTGATTGCCTTTCTCAAGTGATCTATTTTTGGCTTGGGTTTTCAAATTTATAGTCTCTAATGAAATAGGTTGAGGAGGGGAGAACTGTTTGTCTCAAGTTGGTCATTCGGAATTATATCTGTGTTTTTTAATTTGTTCATTTCCATAGATTCTAACAAAGATAGCTTAAGGCCTTTATTTTGAATGTGAAGAATTTTAAATTTCTCATTAAAAGAATGATTATGATCTAGAAGGTGAAGTGCGTATGTCGAATCTGTTTTTCTATTCTTGAAAGCCCTTTTATGTTCTGCTATTTGTTTATCAAAGTTTCTACCAGTTTGACCGATGTAAGTTTTTGGGCAGTCGCCACATTGAAGTTTGTACACACCACTATTTAAGTGTTTTTTATTTTGGCTCTTGTTATTTTTAATATATTTGCCTAGTTGTTATTTGTTCAGAAAGCTGGTGTTATTCCTTTCTTTTTTATGTGTTTGGCAATTTTTTTTGTTATTTTGCCTGTATATGTAATCGAGCAGAAGGTACTGGGTTTTTTTCTGTGGTGGTGGAAATACTAATTTCAGGGCTTTCTTGTGTAGTTTATGTGTAGTGAAATATATTAAAAATTAAAATTCAACTTTAGACAAACAGTTCTCTCCTCCTCAACCTATTTCATTAGAGACTATAAATTTGTAAACCCAAGCCAAAAATAGATCACTTGAGAAAGGCAATCAGCTGAAACAGCTGTAGTGATAATATTTAAATTAAATTTTGTGGAAGTTTGAAAACAAAGTTTTCAGTCTTTTATTGTTACATCTTAAGATATTTCGTTGTATACATAATAAATCGGATAGAGATCTCCTTCAAGATGATGTAAACAACATATGTTTATGGTCAAAACAAAATGGTTTAAGCTTAAATCCAACTAAATATTCTTGTATTTCATTTGGTCGTATAAATAATCTAATAGCTAATAGATATGTTCTTAATGATGTACTCTTGGATTCAGTTACTGAGATTAGAGATTTGGGTGTATTATTGGATTGTGCATTGACATTTAGAAACCATTTTCTTAAAATTAAGAAAACAGGATTTCGTAATCTTGGTTTTATTTATTGTAACAGTCATGATCTTTTACCTATTGTATTCAAATTATTGTATTGCTCTCTGGTACGCTCAGGTCTTGAATACTGCTCTGTTGTCTGATCCCCATTTCATCAAGTATACATTGATGGATTGAAGAGGGTTCAGAGGAAGTTTCTAAGATCTTTAGCTTTTAAAGCACATCTTCTTCTTCTTAAAGTGCCCTCTCCTCAATGTTCATCTATCTTCAAGTTCCCCTATCTTCAGCTGTTCTTATTAGCTGTTCAAAATTTAGCCCTGTCCATTGTCGGATGTTTCTGAGCCATGATAGTCTTTTCCTTCCTAGGCCTCTCTTTCCCTCGATTTTTCCTTTCACTATAAGTTGGGCATATTGGTACTTATTATTTCTCAGTATGTGGCCTAGGTATGATGTTTTTCTTACTTTTACTGTGTTAAAAAGTTCTCTTTCCTTGCCTATTCTATGCAGCACTTCTTCGTTTGAGGTATGCGATGTCCATGAAATTTTGAGTTAAAGCACATATTAATATAAAAAATACTGAAAATTATTTCATAGATAATGTCTCATTTTAACGTTGCTACATTGAAGAACCACAGGTTGAGAGCTGATGTTATTTTTGTTTAAAATTCTAAACAATGTTATTAATTGTCCCTCGTTATTAGCCAATGTACACTTAAACACAATACATAAAACTCGACACACTGCACTCTTTTATATTCCTTTTCATAGGACTGATTATGCTCGTCATTTTCCCTTGTCGAGAATGCTCAGCTCTTGCAATGAGCTCCTATTGTATCGTTTCTGCCCAAACATTAATGCTTTCCAAAGGCAACTTAAGAATCTAACTATTAATCTAGATATGTGGTACTGATACTTTTTTTATTATTGTGATATGATATATTGTTTTAATGTACAAATTTTAACTGTTTACTTGTCTCTTTGTTATTGTTTTGATGTTTATTGTATATGATCTTTACTTTTTACTATTGTTGTATTTTATTGTAACTGGTTCTACCGTTGAAATAAATAAATAAATAAATAAAATAAAAACAAATAAAAAAGATCCTAGTATATTTTCTGCTACTCAATTAACTTCTCGCTTTCTTGTCTGAATATTAAGCATCAACTGATTGGCAAACGCGCAAACGTCTTCTGATGTTTTACTTTATACCAGTAAATTTTTCAAGTCCCGACAGGAAAAACCGCGTAAGTTTTAAATCTGGACATAATATTACAACCCAACAAGTTTTTACCTCTAAACAAAGTTTAACTATTTACGGATATTGCAAAATAGGCACTCTGATATTATATTGTTTTAAAAATACAATAATGGTAGTAATTATTAACACCAAATATAAAATAGGATTTTAATTATTTTTTCAGTAATAACACAATATTTGATCTTTGAGATGTTTCCAGGTGTTCATGAGAAATTTAAATTTAAAATTGTATAAAAAATTGATATCTCGTTAAATAAATATTTCTTATTTGTCAAACCTTCGGTTTAGCGCCCATTTGGAGTGGTACCTCCCGATTACGAAGCCCTGAAGTCAGACTTTCTACCACCTGAGCTATGCAGCCTTTTATCAGAAATTTTCAAATGAAAAATATGTATCCTTACTGCCACAAGCCTTTTTTTAAACCAAATAATTCTGGATTTAGATTCAGAATGAATGAAAATATTCTATAAAACTCGTAATAATAATTAAAATTCTTTTTAAAAATCGTTTCTCCTCTGTTTAGATCTGGCTGAAACTATGCAAAGTCTCCAAACCATTGCTGAACAGTGTCTACCAGAATCATGGGAAAGTGATGGTAATATTGTTCCTTGTAATTCAGATGAAGCAACAGATAATTTCAGTCTAGATCCATTGTACAGGTGCCAATTTTGTGAAAATATATTTAAAGGTAAGTCAGCCTTTATTCTAAATTTGAAAGAATGTATTGGCAAGAAGTAGGTTATGATCAGGTTGCACATCTACTCACGAATAAATGTTGATAACAACTGCTTTGATTTTCAAATCTCTGGTTGATTGCTGTATAGTCTATTTTGAGTTATATTCTGTTGAGTATCTATAAGGAACTTGCAGGTGTATAGTGTGCATTTAGATAGATTAAAGGAAATATATATATATATATATATATATATATATATATATATATATATATATATATATATATACATATATATATATATATATATATATATATATATATATATATATATATTTATATATTTATATATATATATATATATATATATATATATATATATATATATACATATATATATATATATATACATATATATTTTACTTAATGCGAGACTAGTATAACATAGATAAGGAAAAAAATCATTGGAAAACTCGCAATTCAGTAGAAAAGAAAATAGATTAAGGTGGAAGGCAACCGTAAATAAGTATTTCTCACTATGTGCTCGTCATTGGTACGGTACAGAAAAGTTAGACAAGAAGCAAATTAACTTTGGAAAGGATCTACAGGAGCCATGCGACCCATTGTTAACATCATTGCCACAATTGATAACAATGCTGGCACTTCTGACAGTACTGCCACAATTGGTCGCATGGCTTCTGTAGATCCTTTCCCAAGCAAATTTGCTCCTTGCTCCTCTAACTTGGCTGCACTGTACTGATGACGACCAAATAGTCAGAAATACTAAATAATGTCTCATAGGTGTGCAGTCAGATCCACAAAAGATACAGACTCCAACTTTAGTGTCTGGTCTATCTATATAATTAGTTCCCATTCCCTAAAATTTGATCTGATTTTTGGGATGTTCGGGTGGCCCATATGCCGTTTCCTTCGTGTACATGAATGCTCCTTTGGTACCCTATGTCAAAGTAATTACAATAATCTTTTGTTTAATGGTGTTCCCATCCTGCGTAGGTGTCTTTCCATTTAACTGCATAGAACTAGCACGCTGGAATCGGCAGTAGGGTTTGCAGTGCAGCAGTATTTAACTTCTTGTTGATCTAGAGCTAGAACTAAACATACAGTTCTCCACCTTGAATTCCCACTTTTGGTCTCTGGAAGGAACGCCAACAAATGTTGGGATTCCAGGATTTTTTAATAGTTTTCCACTACATTTTTTTTGCTTGAAGAAAGTCTTGTATACTATTACAGGACTCATCTTCGAAACATAGCTTATGAGTTGAAATCTTTCATATTCGGGAAGAACATGGAGCTTTATCGATAAGCTTTATTAGATTATTTTTTATGGACTCTACTTCATTCTCAGCTACTCAGCGGTCTTATCATTTGGGCAGTTCGGGGGAATCATTGCTGTATTGATCTATCTTACAGCAGGTTTGTAATTTCTAGCACGCACACAAATCTCTGGAATACTGGGGAATTCACCAGGACAAAGATAGGTGAAACAGTTCATTATAAAAGATTCGCCAAAATTTACAGAGAGCTAATAAGCAAAGACAGGAAAACAGTAAAAGGTGTAGTAAGTCTGTTAACAGGGCACTGTAACCTGAATATATAGTTGAAGCTGATGAGAGTGGCAGATGATGATCTATGCAGATTCTGTCACTTAGGGGAAGAAACATCAGATCACATTTTGGTGTCAGTGCGACAACTAGGCCAATGTGCGATTCTTCACATTAGACGAAGAAAAGCCAGCGACAAAGAGCTATATGGAAGGTTTTGTCTCGGAGCTGTTAATGAATTTTATCTTTTAAAAAGGGTCAGGCTAGAGAATGTAATCTAGGATTTGAGGACCCTAATAGATCTGAAAAGGTCGCAGTGGAATAGGCCATAAGCCACCTGATTGAATCTTTTTATCTATCTAACTTTCACCACTACATTCTTTTCGGGAGGAAGTAACAAATTTGCCCATTTTTGTAATTTTCCTCGTAAGGTGTACTTTTAGTAGATGCAATTCGCTTATCAGCCCATGTCACGTCAGTTCTCTTTCGAGAAGTAGCTGTGTCTCCGTGATTTGACAACCTTGTCAGATTATATCCACCCTCATCTTCCTGGACCCTCAGCTTCCTCCACCCTCATCTTCTTGAACTACATACTTTCTTTGAGCTCCGAATAAACATTACCGAGATACCTTAAGTGTCCCGGTGTTTTCTGTAAGAGCACTCGAGTCGTCCTCTAAGATTGTTTTCTGTCCCGGTGTTGAGACTTATAGCTCTTCCTTAGTCTGTTCGGTAGCGTAGTTTTGTTAGGTTTTGTGTGGACGACTTAGGTCCCATCACTACGTTATGAGAGATCTGTACACTGGGGTTATTGCTGCTTATTATTCAAACTTATTTGAAACATCATTATGACTATTGAACAATTAAAAAATAATGAATTTAATGTTTAATATTGTTAGGAAGGAATTTGTACTTTATGTTTGTGTTTGCAGATGAATGGTCTTTATCAGAGCACCTTAAAATTCACACTATTCAACCCAGATACTTTTGTAATTTGTGTGACAAGATATATGACGATTCAAATGAACTGAATAAACATATCATAGAACATACATTTATTGACAATCAAAAGAGCCAGGACATAGATCATACCAGCTCCAAAGAAGTGTTTAAAAATTTTAACTGCCATGTAAGTACCGAGCCATCGAGAAAAATCAGATTAGTGTAGATTGTGGAAATACATTTAAATGACACTGATTTTACAGTTCATAAATGTCTGTAAATAACAGTTATGACTCGTCTCAATAAGAAACTCAGCAGTTGTTAGTAAAATAAGCTTTTATTTGTTGGAATACTTACAAACAATATTCTGTTTACAATACCTTATAATTCTTCCGGGATGAACCTTATACTCCTTCCGGAATGAAACAGCAACCCGAGGTGAGTAAGGGACGCTTAGTCTAATTCAGCACACTAAAGAATATGGGATCAGGTTTTGATTCGGGAGACAGCTCACAGCTCAGCACACTGTAAGCATGTATCCTTGTGATCGCTATCACGCTTGTCTTTGTTACCGAATATCTTCTAGAACTTATACTGCTACTGTAGTGGAAGGAGAGACAATGGGATCGTAAGTTAGGAGGCTCTTTCTGTCTATAAGGTGTTACTATTTGAGAAGTCGTATATATTTCTGGAATTTGTTACAAAATTTGTTTCTTCTTATTGTGCCGTCTCCTTTCGAAGGTTGGCGATCCAAATGGCAATTGTAGCTTTGGAAACTGCTGCACGAAAGATTTCTGTGGATGAGCGGTCAAACCATCTTCTACGAGTTCTGGCTTCTTCCAACTGATCTTTTGCACCTCTGAACACATGACCCAAGTATTATATTTTTCTCTGTTTGATTATGATGAATAATTCTTTTTGTTTACTCATGCGCCGAAATACCTCACCATTAGTAACGTTTTGTATCCATGGAATTCTCAGCATCCGTCTGTATATATGCATTTCAAAGGCATCTATTCTTTTTTCTGTTTCAGAGTCCAATGTTCATCTTTCACAGCCATACAGTAAAACAGAGAAAACGTAACATCTGATCATTCGAATTCTGAGCTCTACACGTAAAAAAATTTTTCATGTTCATGAGTGTTTTCCTCGCTTGTTCGATTCTTGACAAACATTTTTTTTGGGTTACACTGGCTGTTGATATTTGCTCCCAAATATTTTATGGAAGTTACCTGTTCTATTATTTGTCCCTTGGCGTACAAATGTACGTTTGTTGGTGTTTAAAAATACTAGAATTTTAGTTTTGGAAACATTTAGATGTAAACCGAACATTTCACTATGTCGAACTACCGCATTTATTATATTTTGTAGTTCTTGTGCGTTGCTTGCTATTAGGACGGTATCATATACCTGATGTTGTCTGTGCTGGTTCCGTTAATATTGATTCCACCTTAAACCTCGTCTAATGATTTTCTAAATATAGATTCCGAATACAGATTAAATATTAGTGGTGATAAGACGCAGCCTTGTTGCACTCTTCGTCGGATTATCTTCAGATGTTGTATGCTCTATTTCAATTGTTGCTGTTTGGTGCCAATATAGTTCTGAGATAATTCGCAAGTCTTGTTTCTTCAATTCCAGGAGTTCTCAGAATTCCGATCGTCTTTTGATGGTTAACGCAGTCAAATGCTTTTAGATAATCAATAAAACATGCATATACATCTACATTCATGTCTCTGCATCGTTGTGTCAACACGTTTAAAGCGGCCCCTAGACAGTCAATATTATTGTACCATATATTGTACAATAATATTAGTAGGCCAACACACGAATCAATATTATTGTACAATAAATTAGTTCCCGACTGAAACTTGCGCTATCAACATGTGGAATAAAAAAACGGTGAGTTGTGTGGCTATCGCATTAGTTGTTGCTTCACAAGGGACGAAAAAAAATTAAAGGCAGGTGGATGAACGAATGGTTCAAAAAAAGAAATAAGTACACTCATGAAAATTTATTAATTAGCGAGCCAAGAGATTTTAAAAAATTGTTGAAATGGTATTTTAATTATCACTGTCCACATTGTTTATATTATTATCTGCTTTTTCCTTATCATTATCCACTTCCTGTATAGTACTTTTTGAAGTATTAAATTTTTCCTCACCCACTAGAAACTGCAATTCGCTAAAATACCATAATGTTGTTGAATTACATAGTCTCCCCTTACACCGCTTTTTCAGAGTCCCTTATTACGATGTAATTCCTTTCTAAAGTTGATGCGCAACGAATTGAATTTTTTCACTAGCTGCAAATTATCAGCATCTGGATAATATTCTCTGTATTTTTGGAGCAGTTGATCGTAATGTTCATTTTTTAAATGTTAGTACTATAATCTTTACCCTTGACATTCCACAAAGCCGGTAACGACCGATGCACTATATAAAACAAACTATCTTTCTTCCCATTTTCCCTTTGCAGACATATTTTTTACCGTACAGCGATGTTTACAACGAAACTGAACCAATATTGCGCAATATTACTCACAGACGCCGGAATATTTACAATATGGCTCAATAAAAATCAAAGTCATGTTGTTTGACACAATATATTGCACAATCATTCAATGTGGTCTACAGACGATCAATATATTGTACAATATAAATTATTGTCCAATATATTGACAATCATATTGATTGTCTAGGACAAATCAGACAGTAGTAAAATTGGAAATTTCTTAAATAAATCAATAATTTACTAAGGTTTGTTGTGAAGCATTTGGTTATAATTCAGGTATCAAAAAATTTGTTAAACACTTGTTTTTTATTTATTTTTAGATATGTGATCGAGATTTTCCAGATTCTAAATTCTTAAAAAGGCATTTAAAAGAAATTCACTTTATTGAGACCGGTCCTGAAGTAGAAATAGAAAAAAAGTTTGGATGCAATATATGTGGGAAAAGGTAAGTAGGATGTGAAAATCTTAATATATTTGGAAATTTAGAGTAACTTCCAAAGAATTACATTTTATTGGCAAGGATATACTTTAAGAATATCATTTTAACCTTGAAATTGAAAGTGAATTGTGTGTAAACATTTTTTTAAACCACAATTGTACCTAAATATGTTATATTTTTGACATTTTAATTCTTAATTCGGAAATTGTTATTTTTCTGATGGCAATCAAAATATGAAACATATAATATTATTACTAGTTATTGCTGAATTTTATTCCAAAAAATATTAGTTACTGTAAAAATGCAGCAAGAAATTAGCTTCAAATCATCATCAAAGGTTTCCATTCGTACTGGAATGATTATCGTGCTCTCCTTCAATCTCTTCTGATTCGTTATGACAGTGTTTCATTCCACATTCTACCTTTTTTCACAAGGTATGTGAAAGGTAGAATGTGGGTATGTTTCCACGCTGTGATCTGTAAGATCTTTTGTGTATGCCTTTCTCTATCTTTAGTCCAACAGATCTGGGCTTCTATGAAAGCCTATTATCTGTTAAGGAGTGATATTTGTTGAGTATGCTCGTGATAGTCTGATTTTCTGAAGCTCAAAGAAAACTTTTGCATAGCGAGAAGTTTATAATAACCTTTTTGTTTACCGTTAGCCTGGAATGTTATCCCAGTAGGCTACTTCTTCTTCTTCCTGTAGTGCCTATTATTTCGGATGTTGGCGAACATCACGGTAATCTGTATTTTGCACACTGCTGCTCTAAAAAGATTAGTGGTTGTTTTGTTGAACCACGTACCAGAAAATCCTTGTCCTTCTAGTCCTCGTTTTCCTTCTACTTTTTCCTGTAAAATTAATTGCAGGAACTCCTACCTTTAGCTGTTCCTCATAAAGCTACATTAACTCCTATTTCCCATTTTCTGACATCGTCCACTTTGCGGATTGAAGGAATAGAGATGGAGCGGGCCAATCACACTCGCTCCGGCAAGGAGCACGGTGACTTATCAGTATTCAGTTACAGGAAAGAATAGGTCTGTCTCAGATCAATACTCCAAGACTGGGTACGGAACTGCCACTAGATCAATAGTCTAGCAGAAGCGTTTAGCCTTCAGTCAATACCCTAGGGCCAGTGGAGTTGTTATTAGATCAATACTCTGACGGAACTCGCCTTTCTTGTGCGTCGGCTGTTGTTTTATAAGGTCGAAGGCCTTCCATTTTCTCTAGCCCACATCGATGAAAGGGGACCTTGTGGTGGGAATGCGAGTGTACGCAGCGCTGACGGGACCGAGGCGATGCATATCGTTACACTTTATAAAAACTAACTTCATTTGCGGCAAAATACAAAAATTGCATAAGAAGGATGTACTCTTCACCTTTATAACGCGATTTTTGTCGCGAGGACATTCTGATCAAAAGATATCGAATTTTTACCATCGAGTTGATAAAATTTTTATTTAAATTGATTTCGCGCGCGTCCCCTCCTCCACGCAATGGGGCGTTTTACGGGGAACCCGGGGCTAAAAGTGGTTAACTTTTTTGTCTCTTTTTGGGATCTCAAAATTGAGATTCTCAGCAAAATTCAGCTTGTTCGTATGATTTGTTGAGGTCGAATCTCGGACGACTGGACTATCTTCTGAAAATGATGGTTGTTCCATTCATGGTCGGAGGTTGAATGATTAATTTCCTCCTGTTGTGGATTAAACAAGTGTCGTTTGCCGTAGATTTGGACATAATTATCGATAAGCTCAATGCTTTTATGTATGTCATTTATCTTGACTAGGTATGTCATCCAAATAAGTCTGGCATTGGTGTTATCACAAAACAGTTTTACACCACTGGTCAGTATTCCTCACTTTTTACTTGTGCTGTTTTTTTTTTCATTTTTTTTTAATGCCATAATATACAACAGGATGATGCTGGGTTCTTTGGGCAATTAATTGATTATTCATATATAGGGTGTGCCAAAAGTAGTGGAACGGTAGATTATTTCGCGAAATTTACATCAAATCGAAAACTTTAAAAACACGTGATCAATATTTTTCAAAAATCCATCAAATGACACCAAACAAGATCTTCATCTGACACCTGGGGATATAGTGGGGCTAATCTTAAATAGGATTTTGTATATCTGTACTACTAAAATAATACTACCCCACTTTTTATCGCATATTCAAATTTTTTATATAAAAATCAGTAATGTATATTCGATATATTTTTTCGAATTGTTGATAGATGGTTAATAATCGGAAAAAATCGTTTTATACTGATACTCTACGAAAATTATGGAAACGGTCCATATTTCGAGAAATACACTTCCAAATGAAAAACTAAAAACACTTGTTCAATATTTTTCAAAAATCTATTAAATCACAGCAAACACGACCTCCCAACCCATTCGTAACTGGGCGTGTCGAGGGGCAACTATGAAATTTTAAATAGGAACCACCATTGTTTATTGTCGATTGGAATTCTTATTAATTCTAGAAGTCGTATTAGTTTATCAGGAATATAAAATTCGTTTAAAGGCTGATTTAAAATCTATGGAGAGGTGGTAAGAATCGATATTGAATTCTTTGGTTTTTTCCAGTATCTGCCTCAGCACAAAAATCTGGTCCGTTGTTGATCGACCAGACCTAAAACCACTTTGATATTCGCCAAGAAGTTCCTCTGAATACGCACTTAGGCGACTATGTAGGAAACTCTGAAAAATATTTTCAATACTGTGTTAAGAAGGGTTATACCCATTTAGTTGCTGCATTCCAATTGATCACCTTTTTGTGTAATAGGCAAACAATTCCAGTATATCACTCTTCCGTGATTTGTTCCTCATTCCAAGCTCTTATTTTATGTATCTGATTAGTAAGACTATCGTCCTTACATTTAATAAGTTCTGCAGGTCACTTCCTAGAGTTTTGTTATTTTTTCGATGTTTTATTGTTTCCCTTTCTTCGTAACTGAAGGAAGTTATAATGGTATATTGTTTCTTGCTCCTGAAGATGGTGGATTTCCATCTTCAATTTCGGTAGAAAGTAGCTCTTTATAATGTTCCACCCACCTATCTACTACGTCCTCTCTTGTATTATATATATAGTCCCAAGATTCCTAAGAGGAACATAGGGCTTCCACAAAGTGTCTCCAGCGAACTCTATTTCTGGCTAGTGCTTTGATTTCAAGCCAGGATTTTCCCATTGTTCTCCCTTCGTCCAGTACTGTCCTTCTCCAAGTTCCCTTAGGTCTGCCTACTTTCCGTCGGCCTTGGGGATTCCAATCCAGTGCTGTCCTGGCAATGTCATTTGGCGGTCTACGGAGTGTGTGGCCCAGCCATCTCCATTTTCTTCGCCTTATTTGCTTTATGACATTTTCTTGGTTGCTTTGGTTCCATAAATTTTCATTGGAGATTCGGTTAGGCCAAAATATACGAAGGATTTTTCGTAACGCTCTATTAATGAAAACTTGTAATTGGTGTACTATGGGTGCTGATATCTTCCACGTTTCGCAGCCATACAGTAATACAGCTTTTACGTTTGTGTTGAAGATTTTTAGTTTCGTTTTCGTTGGGTAAATCCTGGATTTCCATATGTTGTTAAGCATGTTGTAGGCGTTGCGAGCCTTATTTATTCTTTCATGTACATCACGCTCTGTACCCCCATTACAGTCAATTATGCTGCCCAGATATACAAATTCCGCTACTCTCTCAATTTTCTGGTCGTTGATAATAATAGGTTGGTTGTTTCTGGTACCAAATCGCATTTCTTTGGTTTTGTTGGTGTTTATTTCTAGACCAACCTTCTTTGATTCTTCTTGTACTTTGTTTACTTGGAGTTGCATGTCCTGTTTTGTATGTGCTAGGAGGCATATATCATCAGCGTAATCTAGGTCTTCCAGTCTGTTTGTTAATCCCCAGTAAATTCCTCTATTAGAGTTTACCTTTGTTAGTACGGAGTCCAGTACAATGTTAAATAGTATAGGGGATAAAACACAGCCCTGCTTTACTCCGTTTAGCATAGCTATTGGGTCAGATGTTATGCCGTTGTGTAGGATTTTGCTTTCTGTGTCACTGTAGAGTTCTTTGATGAGATTTACTATTTTTTCTGGTATTCCTATTTCCTGCAGTGCTTTCCATATGGCCGTGTGTGTGAGCGTGTCAAAAGCTCTCTTGAAGTCCACAAAGCACACAAAGAGAGGAGAGTTGAATTCCTGTGACTGTTCTACAATTATTCTTAGTGTCCTCTCTTGTATTGAGTCCCTCATTATTTTTACATATTCTGAGCCTTGATTTAAACTATTTTTATGCATTAGTCATAGATTTATAAAATTTTCTGGTTTGGATTTGCCTTTTTAACTTCTTATGTTTATAATATTCAGATGAAAATTTTCAAAATCTTTAAAATATATTTTTAGATATCGGCACAATAAACTTTTAGCCACTCACGTGAGACTACATACTGGAGAGAGACCTTTGAGTTGCGATATATGTGGAAGAAATTTTGCTCTACCGTCTTCACTGCATAAGCACAAAATGATCCACAGTGCGGAGAAAAAGTTTGTTTGTAATATATGTAATAAAAAGTTCAGCCAATCATCACACCTCAATGAGCATATACGGAAGCATGCAGGTCAGTCTCTTTGTTCTGGATTATTTTTTGTAGTATTATAGACTTTTTTTAATATACATGGTTTATAACAATAAAACACTGAAAACTTAATTTTCAAAACTTCCACAAAATTTATTATAATATTTTATCACTACAGCTGTTTCGGCAGCACTTTCTTAAGTGATCTATTTTTGGATGTATTTACAATTTATAGTGTTAAACGAAATAAGTTGAGGAGGGGAGACCCGTTTCTCTCAAGTTGGTCATTCAGAATTATGTCTGTGTTTAGTTTAAGGCCTTCATTTTGGATGTGAAGAATTTGAAATTCGTCATTAAAAGAATGTTTATGATCTATAAGGTGAAGTGCGTATGTAGAATCTCTATTGAAAGCCCTTTTGTGTTCTGCTATACGTTTGTTAAAAATTCTACCAGTCGCCACATTTAAGTCTGTTTACATCACTGCAAGTGTTTTTTATTTTGGCTTTAGTTGCGTTTAATATATTTGCCCAAGTTGTTGTTTGTTCTAAAAGCTGGTGTTATTCCTTTCTTTTTATGTGTTTTTCTTTTTTTCTTGTTGTGTTTACTGTACATGTAATCGAGCAGAAGGTACTGGGTTTTTTTCTCTGGTGGTGGAAATACTAATTTCAGGGCTTTCTTGTGTAGTTTTTTATTTAAAATTTTATTAATTGTTTGTTCGTTGTACCCATTGTTTACTGCTATTTTCTTAATGATATTTAATTCTGTTTCAAATATGTATTTTGACATCGGAATTTCTATTAATCTATGTAACATGCTATGATAGGCCGCCAGTTTATGTTGTGTAGGATGGGATGATGAATTGTGTATAGTCGTGTCAGTATGGGTAGGTTTATGAAATACGGAGAACTCATGTTTATTGTTAAGTCTGATGATTTTTAAATCTAAAAATTAATGGATTGATTTTGTTCTGTTTCTATTGTAAATTAAATATGACTATGGTGTAAATTAATATACGATGAAAATTGGTCAAGTTGTCTGTTAGTTCCTGTAAAATATACCAGTACATCGTCTACGTATCTCCACCAATATAAAATTTGTTCGAATACGGGATGTTTTCCCATATAAAATTTTAAATCAAAAACTACGCAAGAAAGCCCTGAAATTAGTATTTCCACCACCAGCACTGGCGGCCGGTCAATATCTATAAAGATGTGGGTCGGCACTGCCGACCCACATCTTTATAGATATTATAGATTTTTTTAATATTTAATTTAATCAGTATTTCAATAAATAATTGTGGCAGGTAATCAGTTGATGTCATTTGTTTTTGTGAACTAAAAAAATATCTGTGAGATAATAAAGACTAAATTTGATTCATGATTTTTAAAAGAATTCGACCAGTCTAAATTTTATTCATGGTTTTTAAAAGAATTCGTCCAATCTGAGCGTTAAGTGATCACTACGTATACACTTTTCGAATAGATGATTCGATATCGGAGACTCGGAGACATCCATCCGAATATAAATTCTTAATAAGGCACGTTTTGTTTTTTCGGCTAGCCGATCCCAACCTTGACTTTACTTGTAAAAATCAACGGAATATTGGTTGATTAGCAACCAAATATACATTTCTTTCCATATGAACTTAATTACCAAGTGCGGCAAATTTAAATTTGCCGATGTTTCATTTGGATTGGTGATTGGTCGCGAACTGTACGTTGCGAGCGTGAGACGAAATGTTATTTCATATATAAAGTGATGTGAAATTCAGTGCACGAACTAGCCTTTCTTTTTGTGATTTATTTTTATTTTCTAAAGTAATACTGTGATACAGTAGGTCTGCTGTAAATAGTTAAAGGTTAAAGGGTTTTTTCGTTTTTTGACATATTAGAAGTTTTTTTTAATTAAAGTGTAAACAAATTCAGGTGAATTAACCTAAAACATGCAAGCCATAGGAGAAACTGTAAGTATTGATAAGTCTGATATTGTAAATTATTTTTTGCATAATATATTTGCAAATTTGCATTTGTATAATATATATTTTGTAAATTTGGGTTTTCATCTATTCCATACGAAGAACAAATTGTTATTAAAAATAAGGGGCGTCCTTTGCCTAAAATGTCCCGGCTTATAAATATTAGTGCGGGTAAGGGAAGTAATAGATCATTTTCGGATAATTGGTACAGCAAGTACTCATGGCTTACCGGGAGTGAAATAAAAAACAAACTTTTCTGTTGGCCTTGCATTTATTTTCGACAAATAGGGGCAAACATCAAAATCCGTGGTGTGGATCTAGTTACGATAATTTAAAGGAATTATTTAGGGCTTTACATAAACATGATATTTCGAAAGATCATACTTACAGCCAGATTAAGTTAGATTTATTTGGAAAACAAAATATCTATGTTTCATTAGATAATGCCCAACATGAAAATGCTATTAAACATAACGAAATTGTAAAAAATAATCACGCAGTTTTACGTCGTTTAATTGATATTGTAATTTTTTTAAGTTGTCAGGAATTATCTTTTAGGGGACAAGATGAATCGGAGCATTCGTTAAATCAAGGTAATTATAGAGAACTAATAAAAATGTTTAAGAAATACGATTTGTAATTTTCTAATTTACTTTCTGATTCGAACACATTTAGCGGTGTATCTAAAACAATCCAGAATTAATTAATAGAATCAATTAGTTACATTTTGGGTAACGTTATTGAATCTGAGATTCAGGAAACCATTTGCTTTTCACTAGAAGTAGATGAAACTACCGACATATCATGTCATTCACAATTATCAATTGTTGTTCGATACGCGTTACGTGGTAATATCTATGAGAGGTTTTTAGGTTTTACAGACGTGAGTAAAAGCCATAAGGCAGAACATATTTTTGGTGTTTTAAAGGACAGTTTAAAATTTTTTGATATCAAAAATAAATTGGTAGGGCAAACTTATGACGGCGCTGCCGTGATGTCTGGTGAATTAAATGGTCTCCAAGAAAAAGTTAAAACTATTGCACCGCAAGCTTTATTTACTCATTGTCATGCGCATAGAATGAATTTAGTTTTGCAAGATACATATAAAAAAATTAAAGAATGTCGTTTTTTTTTGCCAGTTCAAGCGGATTTGCTTCATTTTTCTCAAGCTCGCCTAAACGGACTAATGTTATAGAACGGTTTGTTTCGAAAAAAATGCCAACAGTTTGTCAGACGCGATGGAATTTTAAATCTCGGTTAGTTTTCACTGCAGCAGATTTTCGTGAACAGCTTTTGGAAGTTTTTGATTTTATTATTGAATATGACGATTTTGAAAGTGATGATATCTCGATCCGTGAAGCAATCGGTTTGAAAACTTTTTTAAATGATTAGTTTTTTAACATACTTTTAAATATTTTTAAGAAAGTGTTTACCCAAACCGATTTGATATTCAATGTTGTTCAAAATCAGTTAACTGATCCAAAAAGAGAATAACAATACTGGTGTAAAATTTCAGAGATTTTCGTAATGATAGTAATTTCCAGTATATACGCAGTGACGTTTTGGACTCGCTTGATATTTCCGAACCGAACCCCCCCCCCCCCCAAAAAAAGACAAAGGCATGACACAGAAACAGATCTCGAAAAACAACGAGTATATTTTGAAAGAGTAACTTTTGGATACTATTATTACGCAAATAGATACTCGTTTTTCAAAGTTTTAAGATTTGCAAATTTATTATAATTATTTTCGGAAGATGGGATAAGTTACAAGATATGTATAATTTTATATACTGCAATTCATTACAACAAACTGTTACCGAAATTAATAAATTATTGTCATTAATTCTCTCATTACCACCACCGTCTGTCTCAAATGAACGAGATTTCTCTTGCCTTAAAAGAATCAAAACTTATCGTCGAAATACCATGAAACAATAGAGAATGTCAAGCTTGTCTCAAATGTCAATAGAAAAAATCTTTTAAAATCTCTCCAAAACTCTAATAAATTTTACGATGACGTTATTACCCATTTTGTTACTTCCAAACAACGTAGACTAGAGTTAATTTATAAACATGTTTAGGTTCTAAATCTATAGAAAAAAACAAAAAAAAACAAAAAACAAGAAAACAAAAAATCTCCTATGATGATTGAAGTCTTTATTAGACGGTATACTTATCTGAGGAGACAAAAAATACCTTGCCGACCTTATCTCTCAAGCCACGAGCCGCCACTGACCACCAGAGAAAAAACCCGGTACCCTCTGCTCGATTACATGTACAAACAAAAATAGCCAAACACATAAAAAAGAAGGGAAAACACCAGCTTTTAGAACAAACAACAACTTAGGCAAATATACTAAAAACAACTAGAGCAAAAATAAAAAACACTTGTTTTTTTATTTTGTGGTACAAACCACAGTGGTGTATACAAACTTAAATGTGGCGACTGCCCAAAAAATTACATCGGTCAAACTGTCACACTTTTAAGAAACGTATAGCAGAACATAACATTAGCTTTAATAATTAGAAAACAGATTCTACATACGCACTTCACCTTCTAGATCATAATCATTATTTTAATGACGAATTTCAAATTCTTCATATCCAAAATAAAGGCCTTGAGCTATCTTTATTAGAATCTATGGAAATTAACCAATTAAAAAATACAGACATAATTCTGAATGACCAACTTTCTCCCCTTCCCAACAGTTCTCTCTTCCTAAACTTATTTCGTTAAACACTATAAATTGTAAACACATATAAAAATAGATCACTTGAGAAAGACACTCTGCCGAAACAGCTGTAGTCATGAAATATTATAATACATTTTGTTGAAGATTTGAAAACAAAGTTTTCAGTGTTGTATTGTTATATAAAATGAATTTCCATCAAGTAACGGTCGAATCCATGACTTATGTATTTTTACTATGCGTCTACACTTTTTAGTCGTTAGCTTAAGAAGTTGAGAAAGGGAAGCTGTTTGTCTTAAGTTGGTTATTCAGAATTATATCTGTATTTTTTAAATTACTAATTTACATTCTTTGAAAAGCTTCTCTTCTTGTTTGTCGTCTGTCACATTATTCGGGAAATTTCTGATGATAAATTCTTGTTACTAGTAGCACATTTTTGTTACACTCTCCTATCACAAAAACCATATTTTTCTCACAATTTCCCGATAATGTTGATCTACTAGATTCTCAGAATGTGTTGTTGATGGGAAAGAGGTTTGTGTCTTTACAAGATAAACTCTGAATCGTGCATACGTAGCCGAGAAATAATGTAGCCGATTATCGATTTTTGCTGGAGTATAGGCTGAGTCAACGTATATGTGTGAATGTTTTTGTTTGTAAAATCCATTCTCTATATATGCGCCTATATTCTCTATGTATCTCCAGTTTCTATGAGCCTATCTCCATTGTCCTGCTGTAGTCATGCCACCAAGAAAGCTTAAAAGTGAAAAAAGCTATATAAAAGTTCAACAAACATTTAAAGTCGCAAGTTTCACTACTATAATGACAAAAAGAGGTAGCGAAGTTGCTTGATAGATGCTACTAAATTGCAGAAATTGAAGCTCATATACGAGATACGTTGGGTATCAGCAATTCATCTAATTTAGAAATGTATTTACTTTAAACCTAGAGATTTAGATACATACAGTATTTGCACACTACATAAAGCGCTAACATCCGCAACATTGACTCGAGGTAATTGTAATTCTCCGATCTCCTCCGTCACCTTAGACTCCTAGACAGTAAACGAAAACCATTTAATAACACATAAAAACGCAAGGGATATGCATCTCCGTCCGTCGATTTTTGTTTTGCTTACGTATACCCGGTTCATTTCTTATAACATAAACTCGATAAAAATACTCTGACCATTACAAGGCGGTCTATTTGTATCGGTTTTTAATAATTTTGTGGTTGAATTAAAAATAAAAGCTCTTTTCTTGTCTGTCTTGCATTTTGTCATAAAAACTTCTGCGGACAGATGTAAGAGTTTCTGTTGTAACTGAGTTGGAGACACCTCTTATTCGGTTTTTAATTCATTAATTTTGGGCTCTAGTCTCAGGATGATCGTAAATGATGCGTTTTAAATGTCCCCAAAAAAAGAAGTCCTTGTGTGTAAGATCTGGAGATCGGACAGGCTACTTAATATCGCCTGTTCCACTGGTAACTCGATTTGGGAAAGTATTGTTTAAGTACTCCCTAATTATTTGAGCGTTGTGAACTGAACAGCCGCCTTGATGGAACCAAACATTCTCCAGATTTATATCAGGAATATTGAGAATAGCGGGAAGAACATTATTTTGTAACAAGTCGAGGTATACTCTAGTATTTAAGTTGCCCTCAATAAAAAATGGACCTATTATGTGGTCTCCTAAAATACCATTCCAGACGTTAACTTTTTGAGGACGTTGAGTTCGGTAAACAACACTTCTGTGCTGGTTTCCCCTCGCCCAATACTTCGTAATGGAAGGATTGTGTCTCCCTACTAACGGATCGCATAATGCAGATCGATTGATTTGTTTAGAGCATCAAGTTCTAAAATAAAAATAGCCATTATGATTGCCAACCTCCGTAGGGAGACGGCACTCTCTCTAAGAAGAAGAACTAACGAAACAGAAGATTTATCAGTAAATAAAATGTTTTTAATAAAATTAGGTTCATCCATGATATAAGGAAACATGGTATGCTCACGCGCATCTATTTTGAACAGCCAATCGCGTTTACGACCAAAATCCGCCATTTTGAAGGCGGCAATTCAAATATGTACAAATTTGATAAAAAATATCGTAGTTAAATTAAATAAAATAAAATTAATATTCTACATTAATCCAATTAATTCAGATATAAAATGATCTGAACAGACTCTTGCTAAAATAATTTTAAAAAAATCGAAACAAATTTACTTTTAAATTCCAATACATTGCAAAGTAAGGTTAAAAAATGCAAAACAAAGCAGACGTCAAGCATGTAGAGGTGGTTGATCCAAGTATTTTTGTGGATCAGGTCAAACTGATACGCGTAAACAAATATACCTGTTAAAAAATACTGGTTTGGAAATCAGTTTGTTATTATTCGTTTAATAGATATCTAAACATAACGACAACATTATTTGTATTTTGTTAGATTTCTTTATAGTTATTTAAATGACTGTAAAACTTCAAATACTTAAATTACTGTTATTCAGAGATTGTATAAAAAGTTCATAAAAAAATGGCGATAGTTTTGTCTACTTCACGCCAATTGTCATCTGTTGATATTTATCTAAAGCTTTGTAAACGTTGAGAAATGCACGATAAAAATTAAGGACAAATGCAATGAAACCCGTACTCGTTTATTATAATATATTGGTGTTAGGGATCAGTTCCACAAGTATAAATAAAATACATGTTCCAAAGTAACTGGTACGGGATCAGGTCACCATCCCTACACGCATGTGACATATTGAAAAGATGGTGGATTTTGGTCGGCGCAGAAATGTGCAAAAACGAGTCCACCTAGTGAGCATACCTTGTTTCCTTATATCATGGGTTCATCATTAGCCTTCATTATTAGAGTTTCACAAAACTTCATTCTTCTAAAGTAGTCGTCTGGATAAAGCTGATGCGTTCGAATATTTAAAATTCTTCTTAACCGTGCTTTTTCCATACTTTCCTTACAGTAACATTGCTGACATCTAACTCTCTAGCACTGCTTCTACTTGAACGTGTTGAATCTACCTTGATTGTTGCACTAATTTGTGTATCTCGGTATTCTCTTTCCTCAACTTTTTAAAGTGACACTTCTTGAGAGTGACATTTTCTGCAATTTTTGAGGCAATAACAACTCTCAAAATTGTTAACAATATTATAAACAGACTGCAGGCAAGGAATTGTCTCCCCTCAAAAAAAAACAGAAAATAAATCAACACTGTTGTTCAGAATTACCACCATAAAATCATTTATTTATTTGAACCTTTTTGCGGGCCTATAAATAGACATGTTATTTACAAAAATAAATTAAAAATCTACACTCTTATTGCTTTAAACAACCACTGTATAAGGACAAATTATTGGCGAATGGGCAACGGAGGTTCGTGGAAAGTCGACGGCACGCAGTGTTGCCATTTATAGTGTGTATATCTAATTTAAAACTTAACGTACTGTATATTATACTGGTTTTAGTACACACGCTTTATATTCTTATTTATTTCAGGGCAAAGACCTCACATTTGTAATATTTGTGGAAAACGCTTCACTATCAACTCAAAACTGGTTGTGCATATGAGAACCCATACTGGAATTAAGCCTTATAATTGTGATTTTTGTGAAATGTCATTTGCTAGTAAGTATAATTGTTACTTTAATCAACTTTTATGTACTCGAATTACTCCAATCAACTAGGAATGACTTTTAATACTCTTATTTATACTTTATACTAATTTATAGTAAATAGTGACCATAAAAAAGAATCATCTTCTTTCCTGAACAGCATTTATGATCTGAATTTTCTGTTAATTAATAAACCGATAGAACGGAGTATGCAGTGAAGAACTTCGTCGTTTGTGATCTTTTGCATCCTCCTGTATACGTATACTTCGAGGACCTCTATTCCTTTTTCTGTTTGCTACACCATTTCCAACTTTTGCATTAGTAGTGTAACACGGGAAAAACATAGCATCTAGGGCTTAGAATACCGGGATCCCGAATACCGGAATCCCGGACGATTTTTGTCCGTTATTAAAAACCGGTATTTATTTAAAAGAAAACGTTAAGACAAAAAGTCAAAAGAACGCTAAAAAACAAGACAACAAAGGACAAATGGTACATAGAAAAATTAAATGCTACAGATAGAAGAATTAAATGTGCAGAAGATATAAGCAAAAAACTGAAGGAATACTGTGAACATACAGAGGATGTTGAAACAGAATGGAGCAATATAAAAAAATGTATAAATGAAACAGCTTCTGAACATGTAGGGATAGAGAGAAAGAACAAAAAAGAAGATGGTATAATCAAGACTGTCATAACATGTTAAAAAAGAAGATAGAAATAAGACAAAGGTGGATCAGAACAAATAGACAAGAATATAAAGAAGAATACAACAAATTAAGGACAGAATGTAAGAAACAAATAAGAAAAATTAAACGAACCTGGTTAAGTGATAAGATAAATGAAATAGAAAATGAAAACACAAATAGGAACACAAAAGCATTTTATAAAAAAATTAGCAAGCAGAACAAAACCTTCAAAGGAAAGATAAAATAGGGATAAAGGATAGAAATGGAAAAGTATCAGAAAATGACAAAGAGTTTAAAGAAATCTGGACTGATTATTTTAAAGAATTATTAACAGTACAAGAGGACGAAGACTTAAATGAAAATGTGGAAGAAGAGACCACGATGATAAAAACCGAGCTAGAAAAACCAACGAGAGATGAAGTTGAGGAAATTATAAACAGTAGTCGCAACGGTAAAGCACCAGGTATAGACGGTATAAACATGGAACTAATAAAATATGGTGGATATGAACTCAGAGAAAAGATATACCAATTAATAAAAGTCATATGGGACGAAGAAAAGATGCCAGAAGAATGGCACAAAGGACAAATTATCACAATCCATAAAAAAGGAGACCAACAAATGTGTAATAATTATAGAGGACTGACATTACTAAACACAGCGTATAAAATCATGTCAACCTTAATACAACGAAGACTGGCCAAAGCGACAACAAATATCATGGGACAGTATCAATGCGGATTTATTAGGGGAAAGTCAACAACAGATGCTATACATACGGTAAAGCAAATTATGGAGAAAGCTTACGGAGATAAAATAGAAATTGAACTGCTTTTTATAGACTTCCAACAAGCATTTGAATCAATAAACAGAGCGAAATTACTTACAGCTATGAGAGAAATGAGAATACACAACAAATTATGACGATTAATAAAAATGACAATGAGCAAAACCGTAGTAACTGTAAAAACACAAGAAGGAGACACAGAAGAATTTGTTATAAATAAAGGTGTACGTCAAGGAGATTCATTATCTGCAACTCTGTTTAATCTTGCCTTGGAATATATAGTCAGAAAAATCAACAAAGGTACACTTAGAACGAGAGAGTGACAAATAATAGCATATGCCGACGATATTGTGATAATAACAAAGAACAGAAAAAAATGGAAAGTATGTTAAAAGAATTGGTAGCAGAAGGGAAACTAATGGGATTAGTAATAAATCAAGAAAAAACAAAAATATTGAGATTTGACAAAAAATATGAAAACAAAAAGGTTAGACTGGGAGAATATATATTTGAAGAAGTAGAAAAGTTTAAGTATTTGGGAATATTATTAGCAAACAATGGAGAAAGGGAAACAGAAAGTAAAGAAAGGATAATTACAGCAAATAAGACATACTATGCAAATAAAAAACTTCTAAAAAATAAATTACTGAGCAAAAAATCGAAAATGAAAATATATAAAACAATAATTCGACCGACTATGATGTATGCTGCCAAAACCCTTAGCATGACAAAAAAACAAGAGGAAGACCTTAGAATACTAGAAAGGAAAATACTAAGAGCAATATTAGGACCAATAAAAAATAATGAAAACCAATATAGACAAAGAACGAATCATGAACTACTAAACGAAATTAAAGAGGATATAGTTTGTAAAATAAAACAGCAAAGGGCAAAATGGCTAGGAGATATATGGAGATCAGGACCATCTACGACAATATTCTCAATATTTTAATGGACACCAGCTGGTAAACGAACGTGGAAGACCAAGATCTACATGGCTACAAGAAGTAACAAACGATCTCAACAGGGCGGGCGTACGACAATGGAGAGAAAAAACCAGAGATAGGAAACAGTGGAGAAAAATAACAAGAAAAATTAAATAAAGAAAATGAGGACTGATCTACCTCGTATAATAGATCTAGAGAGCTTAAGCGGCGTAACCCCGTACGGGGTGTTTAGCCACAATATAATATATATTTATCTAAAAATACCGTTATTTGGTATTACATTAGTTGATAAAAATTGAATTTATGAACAATATAAATCTAATTTAAGATTATATTAATTTATTACAAGAAGTAGTTTTTGAAGATAACTATTTAAAATCGATATCAGGCACATTTATTACACATACTGAGCCGAGTATCGGCTTATTAGGCTAGAAGTATTAAAAAATTTCGAGAGATCGAAAGAGAAGTGAAGAAAGAAGTGAAAATGTAACGTATAGTGTATGAATGAATGGAATAACCACATAAAAAGAATGAAGGAGACCGTGTTGTCAAAATAGCAAGAGATAAGTCACCAATCGACAGAAGAAGTATCGGACGGCCGCGCAAAAGATAGAGTGACAACCTTTCATAGAGATATTAATGCACCGATGAACATGCAGAATTGTTTATAAAGAACAAGAAGAATGAAGCCAGGATATTCTTCTTATAGCTTCTTATAAATTATTAACTTTCAGATCCGTTGGGCGAATAGTTCAAACCATGGACGTATAAACACAGATGGACTCAGTTATTTACATAAAATTGTGAAGTCAAAATTATTTGAATAGGTCACATTCTCAGCACCTTCAACTGTTGTCACGTTTTGTTTTAAAATTTCTTATTCGCAAGTCGCTGAAAATATTACTCCGTATTTTATACTCTACAGGTGCTATAAAACCAAAATAATAATTTATTGGTTAGATTAATATATTTAATTGTAATCAAAATAAAAAGTGTGCACATAGTGTGCATTATCATTTAATAATAGCGTATAATAAATATCAATCAAATATTTTATATGTAGAAGCACTGAAAACTATTTATAAATGGCAACGGTTGTTTACATTTCTCTGTCTTATGGATCTACGTCAAACTTCAAATGCTGTTCCATGTTTGTTTACTTTTTAGTAAAAGTTGTTTTTCGATATTTTGGCTGTATTTTGAGTGATATTTGTGAAAAGTGAAATAAAATAAACGAAATATTTACATCCCGATCTCTCATTTCATTTGTAAGTACATACAATTTACATTATTTAAGATGAGGAAATGAGGAAGCGTATTTGTTTACATTTTAATATTCGTACCATTGGGTTTATTCATGTTCATTAATGTATTGAATAAGATATAAGTTCATGAAATTAGTAGACATTTTTAAATTGTAAGTAGACATCATCTGATTAAAAAAGATCTGTTTAGTACCTTTTTAATTTAATATTTCTCATGGATGCAAATAAATTAGTGAAATGAATAAAACTCATTTATTTTTCTATGTAGGTTTCCAAATAATATTGACGATCGAACTATTTTGGTAGCAAATTTAGAAGAAAACATAAAGATTTTTATTGTAGCATTATTTTGATACCTATTAAAAATTAACTTGAATTCATCTATATTTTATTGTATTAATTTTAAAGCAAATAAAATTGTATTTTAATTTTTCTATAAAGACGTGATTTGTTAATAGTTAAACTCTCGTTTTTTTTAATTCTTCGAACGTGTTTTTATACATTATTACTACTTTCAATTTTTAAAATCTGAATAATTACCCATGAGTAAAAATTCAAGCACGCTTATGCTCATTGCGAAAGCATCACATTCTATGGAAGCTTCAAAACATTGTGTGTTAAAGGTATCTTATTGCTGTGTCCATCTGTGTTTATACGTCCATGGTTCAAACTGATTTTATAAAACAAAGCTTGGCTAACTTTAATTCATTTAATTCACATTCATGTAATGACTACATTTAAGAATCTTTTTGTCACACTTCAACAACTTCAAGAGGCAGATTCCAGGTATATACGAAGTGTGACAATTAAGTTACGTGAATTTGTCAATAAAACACAAGCAAAATTTGTATCGACCATAGTCTCTCTTTAACTCTACCCAATGTTTCTTCTAAAGTTATATATAATATATTTTTTTAGGTAATGTGCAATTAAAAAAGCACAGAATGATACACACAGGTGAAAAACCTTATCCTTGTTGGCAGTGTGGACGAGCATTTCGCCGAAAGGAAACAAGAGACACCCATGTCCGATACCATACTGGAGAACGACCCTATTCTTGTCAGATTTGTTCAAAGAAATATATAGCGGCAAGTCATTTAAGGGTAAGTAATCAAAAATATAAAGCAAGCCCGGGGTTTTTAATCTCCTACTGGGTGCCTTCTTAAGTGGGGGATACACGAAAGTCTCCCAGATATGGGTAGTACCTGGGCAAATTAAATCTCGCGCAGTGGTATTTTACTCATAGTGAAAGGTTGTGAAAAGCGTCTGATCCATAATGGGCGCCTCAATCGAAAGGTACTGCCTTACGTTTGTGCCCCTCCAAATATAAATTTGGCAGAACCCTGGTCTACCTGGCCTTTCGGCATACGACCGTTAGCGACTCCACTGTCCCTACGAGTCCGACACCAAATAAGGCGGCACGATGCCGAAACATCGTGGGGCTCCACCTTACCCGTAGTACCTATAATGCGAGTACGTCACCCGTCCGAAGATCCCCCCGGAGGCGGAAAGATGACGCAGGCGGAGGAATTCCACCTCGCACGTAGTAGACAGGTCACCGCCTAGAATGAGAGTAGAGTGGTTAGAGATGACTATGCATCTCGATTGCGTTTCTACAAACCCGACACCTTGAACGACGGCTCTCCACCTCTCATTTCCTTCCCATTAGTCGCCTCTTACGACAGGCAGGGCCTTCTGGTCTCGGCCGTATTCTTTTCTCCGCGAGCCGAACGGAGAAATCGAAAGGTACTGAAAGAAAGAAACTCTGAACTGAAACCGAAATATAAGACCTTCAGTATCCGGTGTGTTGACAGCACTAGAAGAAGATTACTATTGGGACCGTACAAGTTCGGAACAGCGACACCTGGTGTCGTAAATCAGCAAAATTTACTGCGCTTTCATGTTAGATCGAGGTTACCGGATAACTGTCAAGGACGTAGCCCCAAAAAAGAATAAGAAGAAAAAGTAAGATTGAGGTTATGTCGGTATGTTATTAAAAGGTAAACGTTGTATGTAGTGTAAATACAAATAAATATATTATTAAATGACAGGCATTACTGTTAATATGGATGCAATAATAAAAACTGGATTTGAGAAAGTAAATCACCAAATAACTTTTCAACCAAGCACTGAGTCAAAGGAAAAAGCTTTAGTAGTGGCAAATGTCAAAAAAGAATGGAAGAATTAAGAAAAATTAATTACCATAAATAATGCTAATGCATAAATTAGCAGGTTAAGCCCATGATATCATTATATTGGTTTGAACAATTAATTCTTTCCCTGTAAACTTTTGGACAGCGAATATAATATATCTTAATGCATCTTTAGAAAAACTTGATGCATTTTTGTAAACTTCAAAAAAAAATAAAATTTAAACATTAAACTTGATTTTTGGGTTAAAATGAACTTTAAGTGAAACTAAAATTTACACTTAAAAGTGAACTTTTATTTATTATTTATTTCAAACTGACTTTAAAATCGGGCGCAAGAATAATGCATTATTTAGGTTATATTACTTATACTTTTTTATGATATAAATCCACTTTTCTCTTTGTAGTAATTTGTGCTTCGAAGTTGTAAACGAATAAACCTTAAATTGACAATTTTTTGTTGTATTTTTACAATTTATAACACAGCATTTCCTAAATCCCATTTTCTTCAGTGACAGGAGGTGTAAATAAACAAACGAGTATGAAATATGACAATTGACAATATGAATTTGTGAAATCTATGAAATGTGCAGTAAAAAATGAAAGATTTCTCCGCGATCTCTCGCACGATCGTTTCTCGTATCACATCCAACTACTTGCACGTCGCCAATAGCGACCTACAAAATGGAGAGACCGAAGATTCTAAAAATCAAAGGATTGGGTTAGGCTGTCATGAAAAAGGGGACAAGGCTAAGAATATTTATATACAACATAACTATGACCGACGACGACAGAATACGTGAATTGATCACTTATTTTATTTAGGCTGAGTTTCTTATAAGACATTTTTCAAAATATCTAAATATAAATAAATATATCAGATAAAAGATTTAATATTTGAGCTATCCGGTCCATTAGTACTGATAGTTACTATCTTTTTTATTTTAGGATCATATGAAGACACACAGCAACAATCGCAAATACGAGTGTATGATATGCTTGCAGAAGTTTTTTGATTCAAAGACTCTCAAAAATCATATGCGAACTCACTCTGGACAAAAACCTTACAACTGTCAGTATTGTGGAAAAGAATTTTCTCAAAATGGAGCTCTCTCAACACACATTAAACATTGTCATACTCAATAAAATAGTTTTGAAATCTTATTCGTTTCATTGCTCATTAGATGTACCAATAATTCCATATTTTTAGTCTTAAAATTTAAAGAAAAATTCAGTTATTAATATTATTGCTTGATGGCATTAAAGTATGATTGAAAAAAAAATTCCATTTGTATATTTAAATCAGTAAATCTGTATATGCAATTGGATAAAAAGTGAGGTTAGGATTAGGATTTCCAAAAAATCATTACTCAAATAATTACTTAAACTGTTTTTAGTACAGATAAACTCTGGAAATATATAAATTGGTATAATAAATATAAAATATATAAATGTATATTATATTATTGTTCAAAAACTATACATAATAAGCTAGTAAAATGTTTAAAATTTATAAATTTAACTTACTGTTTTTGTAAAAATATCCAAATTTGAATTTTAACAAATCTATTTGCAATACATAAATATTGCGATAAAGTTATTTATATATAACTAATTAATACACGGGCAAGAATTACGATTAGTTACAATTTTTTTATTTTATTACTGTAGGTTTATAAATGTTTTTAATGATGTAAATCTTATGATGATGATATACTAACCCGTAGAGGGCGACACCTGTTCAGCTACATGTAGCGAATAACAGACAAAAACTATATCAAAATTCCAAAATACATTGTCCACTACACAAAACATCCAAATGACAAGGCACACGGTGGTACAGCTATCATTATCAAATCTAATATAAAACACCATGAGTTAAATAAGTTTAGTGAAAAGTACCTGCAATCAACTAGCATTGTCATCGAAGACTGGCTAGGCAACCGCCTAAAGATCAACGAAATCTTTAGCACCTATTTCAGTTCTCTTGGACACAAATTCATAGCAGGAGGAGACTTTAACTGTAAACATCATCACTGGGGCTCTAGGGTAATTACAATAAGGGGTAGACAACTGCTGAAGTCAATAACAGGAAACAACCTTATTATTTATTATTATAATTATTATATTATTAAACAACAATAATCAAACAAATTGGAAAATATTCCGAAGCGCACTAGCAGAACAAATACCAACGAACTTGCCACTTAAAACAGAATTACAAATTGAAAATGCGGTACAACTTACTACCTCCATACAAAAGGCAGGTTGGATTTCTACTCCTGAACAAACAACATGGAAGAAAAGTATAAACTGTTCGCAAAGTGCAAAAAACCTGATCGATGAGAAAAGAAAACAGGAAAAAGTGGCAAAACACACACGCTCCTATTGACAAACAAAATTTAAACAGAATTACCAGAAGACTTTAAAATCTATTAAAAGAAGAGAAAAACAGGGGGATCCAAACTTACTTAGAAACTTTGACTCCGTCCAAAGACACCAATTATTCTCTATGGAAGGCGACGAGAAAGGTAAAAGGTCCACAAGACGCCATACCTCCTCTAAAAAATGTCAAAGGTAAATGGGCAAGAACAGACACAGAAAAATCTGAGACATTCGCTGAACATCTTTCTACAGTATTTAGTCCATTTAACAGAGTAGTGCCATTAGAACAAGAAGAACCATTTAATTCTTTTCTTGCGGCTCCATATCAAATGGAACTACCAATCATCAAGTTTAATATTAAAGAAGTAAAACAGACAATAAAGAATGAGATGCAACCCAGTAAGGCTCCGGAATTCGACCTCATAACGGGTAAGATCCTCCAGGAACTAACCAATGACTGTTACAGAATAATCACTATGATCTTTAATGCTATGCTTAGTCTGCATTACTTCCCTCTGCAATGGAAAGTGGCATAGATTATACTCATTCAAAAACCTGGAAAAGATCCAAAAGATGTCAACTCATACCGACCGATTAGTCTACTCCCAGTCATCTCTAAGGTCTTTGAAATACTTCTGCTACGAAAAATCAAACCAATATTGGACGAAAAGTGTCTCATACCTGACCATCAATTCGGCTTTCGTAACCAACATGGTACAATCGAACAAGTTCACAGACTATACACAAAAATAAGAAGTAGTCTCGAGAACAACCAATACTGTACTGCAGCCTTTTTAGACGCCTCTCATGCTTTTGACAAGGTGTGGCATACAGGACTTCTGTACAAATTAAAGAAAAATTTATCTTACCCTTACTTTAAACTGCTTCAATCATACCTTACAGAAAGGAGATATCTGGTAAGATATAGTGAAGCCTATACAAAAGTCTACCCCATCCTAGCACCCAGCCATTGTGATCAGTGCCGCTTTAAGTGCTCGCTTATCAGTGTATGTGCGCATCCTACCGGTAAACAAGCCAATTTGTGTCGTGATGATTTGGTCACTGGACCTTACATCTCTCTGTCATGTAAAGACAAAAAATTCTACTTATTGTTCTCACTGCAAAACAGATTGTAAAATTCTTAAATGTTAATAAAAAAAAATGTAGCGAAGCGAATAACTTTATCGGTGTGACATGTAAATATTCTTCAGTATTTACCTTTGCTCTTTTATCTTCATTTAAACAGCTATGTCTCATTAATTTTTCTTTTGTGGTTTATCGTTATTATGTACATCACGAGAGTTAGACAATGCGCATAGACTACAGATATAAAACTGTCTATCAACAATTTCTACGATAAAGCAACTTCACAAGTACATATTGACGAGAACACCAAGTCATTCCCAATAAGATATTCGACAAGAAGACACTATGTCACAACAGTTGTTCAACTTAGCAATAGAAAAAATTTCAAAAAGGATGGGCTATGGAATAAATATAAATTATGTACAATCTGAGATACGCAGATGCTATAATCTTATTTGTAGAATGGGAGGCCTATGTTCAATTTTGGACATAAAAATGTTAAAGAAGAAAAATTACCGACCAATTAATATTTTTGTGAAAAAAATCTAAAAAGTCTTACAGTAGACAGTCTAGTCTAGTATATGTTTTCTGTATTTTAAAATTCTTTTTATGTAGACAAGACGTCTTTTTTTCCTGTGCCTCCAGTGTCGTTCCATCGTTTTCGTCGTCTTCTTATCGGGAAACCGTCTCTTGTCGTTTTTACGACAAGAGACGATTCCCCTCCTCCATTTGTTGTCATTCGGTTTATATGATCATTCCATTCTACTCTTTTATTTCATACATGGTCCTTGATGTTCTCCACATTGCATCTACGTTGTACATCTGTACTTCTAGCTCTGTCCCCTAGTATTTTAACATCAATTTGTCTGTTTTCATCTCTGCTGTTTCTAACATTATTTTTGTCTTCTCAGGCCGCGTATGTCATTATTGGTCTAATGACTGTTTTGTAAATTCTTCGAGCTTTCCGTATCTAGGTGATGCCTGCATATTTAAACTCCATCACTTGTTCCATTATCTAACATTCCAACTCCAATTTACATCGGTGTAAATTTGCTCTTATAACCATGCATTTTGTCTTTTTTTGGGGAAATTGACTTGTGTAATTTTCTGGTGGTTGTATTAAATTGGTACTGCATACATTCATCATCAAATCATCTTCACTTTGAGAGAGTAGCATTGCGTCGTCGGCATACCAGATGATTATAAGTTATTTTTCTCCCATTTGATATCCTTTTTTAGTTCTTACTTTTTTTTATTATTTCATCCATAATCAGGTTGAATAATAGAGTACTCAGGGAATATCCATGTCTTATCCCACTACCAGCTTCAATAGCGTTAGTTCGTTTTTCTACTTTTACTTTTATTGTGTTGTTTTGGTAAACATTTTCGATCATTTTGGTTATTCCTAAAGGAATCTCTCTTGCATGAAATAAGGGGAGAGAGTCTTTTAATTTGACCCGGTAAAATGCCTTCTTAAGATCCACGACACGTAGACATGCCGGTTTATTGTATTCTATTGATTTCGCTTGTACTTGCTGTATTATAAATATAGCGTGGGTGCATGATCTTCCCAATTTAAAACCTTTTTATTCTTCTGCTCCTGTTATAATTTCTTTTAGTTTATTTGTTATCACTTCGGTTGTTAAGTTTAGTGTTGTGTTTAATGAATTAATTTCTCTGTAATTTTCCGGGTCCGGTTAGTTGCCCTTTTTGAATAGAGTTATTACAATGCTTGATTTCCAGAAAACCCTAGGGTTTTCTTTTTTGATATGTTAGTGTTTGTTACTTTCCTCTCTCCAAGTGATTCTGTTGCTGCGTCAATTATTATTTTTGAGTTTTTCTCAGCTTTCCTCAATGCTATCGTTTTCTAATATTTCAACTTATTACGAATAAACCACAATTTAAGTTTCAAATAAGTTTATTCAAGTTTCAATTTCCACTTCGGAAATCGTTCTCAAAATACAAAACCAATCAGTTTTTTACAAAGTTTTATTTTCTATAGTTCATTCGTTTAGCAAATTCCCAACTGTTAATAAAAGCACGTGTTGATATTTGCCTTCTCATTCGTCAAGAGGCTATTAAATATAGTTTATTGCCTTAAGCCTGACAGATTCTCATGTTACAGATCCAAACTTGCTAGTCTGTTTAAATTCAAATTGTAGCATGTTGGTTTTTAAGTTAATATATCTTGTGTTATATTTATGTTACAGTTATTGTTAAGTTATTTACTGGTCGTGTTATTTTTTAGAGTTTAGTTTAATTGTGATTTAATGATTAAATATCAAGAAATTCTTACACTAATAGTTTCAAAAGTAAATATTTTTAAGAATCATATGATACACATCAGTACAACCCTGTTTGGCTTTCACGTGCGTATGTTGACAATTGGGAATATGTAAAATTAATGTAGTTTAATATTTCATTTCCAGCAATCTTCCCTATATTATTTTTCTGTATAAGTATTCCGTGTATTCGTATGTATTCCTTTGACTCTGATTATTTGTTGGCGCCGCTCTTTTAGGTGTGAAGTATTTCATGATGAATCTTATTATACATAATACTAGTCAATACTACAGTACTACATACTACTAGTACTACAGTTTTGTGGTCAAAAAAATCTAGTCTATCGCAGATTCCCTGGAATAGATCGCTCTCAAAGTTCCTTCCTTGGTAAC